CAAAGAATCATTTTGAATCAAGAGAATAATAGGAGTTGTCAAGAAGTCATCACGATTTTGTCAATATAATGACTTTCTGCACTTAGTTTTAATAAAAAAAAAAAACTCACTTTCATTATAAATCTTAACACGTAAACAAAATAACTATCAGAAGAATATCAGTAAAGGAGTGTAAATATTTGATTATATACACTAGGATACCAGAGTGGATGCACCGAGAGGTGTGCATCTGTCAGTGTATATAAATTGAGAGATGTGTATCTCTCAGAGCATTGACATTATCTCCTAATGGTTATAATCATAACCCCTCAAGGGAGGTTCTTAGGTAAGACACATATGCAACAGTTAGGTATCTTTATTATGAAACGTTTCGCCTACACAGTAGGCTTCTTCAGTCAAGTACAGAAAAGTTGATAGAAGCAGAAGATACTTGAAGACGATGTAATCAGTCCATCACCCTTAAAGTTTAATGTTCAAGGGAGGTTCCTTGATGCTGGTGAGGGGTTCTTGATTTAGGGAATTGGATCTGTGCTCCAGTTCCCTGAATTGAACCTGAATACCTTCCCTCCCCCTTACAGGCGCTGTATAATCATACGGGTTTAGCGCTTCCCTGTGATTATAATAATAATTATAATGTAATCATAACCATGATATTTAAAAAGGTAGACCGGTAAGCCAGCGGAAGTCTTCGGTCCAGTTTGGGTCATCATATGACTGCTAACAAAATGCGACATCTGTAAAGCATCTACCCTATTTCTGATTTTGTAACAGTTTGTCAGAGAATATTCTAGTCCAGTTATCCTATAAAACAATGAGAATTTTCAATACGTTTTGGAACTGCATTTGGATGAATATAAACCAACTAAATAAAAGTTTATACCTTTAATAACAAATGTATAATTAAGGAAGCTGTTATTTACTTATTCTGTACTTTACAAATGGTGCTATAGGCTCTTCAGATATACGGTACAACTTAATACTATTAATATGTATTATCGGATGTGTTGCTGTGAGATCCACTCATTAATATGAAAGAAATATAAGTAAATAAATATGTGTGTGTTAGCCTCGACTTATGTTGTGACTTAAAAGTCCCTCAGTCTAACATCTCAGCCAACAAGGAAATCAAACAGCTTGCTTGAACAATACGAAGTCACATTCGTCAAACAGCAATAATGCTGGAAGCAGAAGTAAACGGCAAAGTGTCAGGCAAGGACTCCAGGAGACCAAAAATGACCCTAACTGTGGACCTTCAACAGATCCTATACAAAAGATATAAAACTCCCTTATTTCTGAAACTGAGTTCGACACTTCCAATTTCCCCGATTATGACAATGCCAGAATAAATGTAGGTTGAGAGTTTAACTCGGGACCAGAGATATAGTGTCTCCACGACACAACCTCTGAAAAAGTATCACTAAATTTAAATAATGCTCCGTGAACAAAGTTGCACGGAGACATGAGAAGTATGCCTCGGCTCCCCAACGAAGACAAACTCGACTAAAAACAGTCTAAATAACATGTGATGACGGAGCAAAGAGAAATAATGTTTCTTCCACGAGAAGCAGTTAAGGAAATAGGGTAAGGTAGGCCCAGTAGCGACATCGTCAGATGGGTACCCGGTTGCACCTGACACCACCGTAACAATCGACCTGATAGTTTGCAAGTGCTGACAGCCAATCAAAACTCCAACAGCAAGCACAATGAGAGATGTAGTTGTTACATCCTATCTTCGTACATAAGCTAATATAATAAATCAAATACTAATATAAAGCATAAAATTTTCATTTTAGCTATTAATGAAAATATCAGCAATATAAAATTATATGAATAGACAATATTTATATAATATAGTTACTGCATTCTTTCTCAGAGGTCACTGTAATATGACCCGCATTAGGAAACACTTGTCCTGTTTCCTGACAAAAATTATACCTACCTACCTTTCAGAGAATTAATATGGAAGTTTGCCTGGAGTTTACCTGGAGAGAGTTCCGGGGGTCAACGCCCCAGCGGCCCGGTCTGTGACCAGGCCTCCTGGTGGATCAGAGCCTGATCAACCAGGCTGTTGCTGCTGGCTGCACGCAAACCAACGTACGAGCCACAGCCCGGCTGATCAGGAACTGACTTTAGGTGCTTGTCCAGTGCCAGCTTGAAGACTGCCAGGGGTCTGTTGGTAATCCCCCTTATGTGTGCTGGGAGGCAGTTGAACAGTCTCGGGCCCCTGACACTTATTGTATGGTCTCTTAACGTGCTAGTGACACCCCTGCTTTCATTGGGGGATGTTACATCGTCCTGCCAAGTCTTTTGCTTTCGTAGTGAGTGATTTTCGTGTGCAAGTTCGGTATAGTCCCTCTAGGATTTTCCAGGTGTATATAATCATGTATCTCTCCCGCCTGCGTTCCAGGGAATACAGGTTTAGGATCCTCAAGCGCTCCCAGTAATTGAGGTGTTTTATCTCCGTTATGCGCGCCGTGAAAGTTCTCTGTACATTTTCTAGGTCAGCAATTTCACCTGCCTTGAAAGGTGCTGTTAGTGTGCAGCAATATTCCAGCCTAGATAGAACAAGTGACCTGAAGAGTGTCATCATGGGCTTGGCCTCCCTAGTTTTGAAGGTTCTCATTATCCATCCTGTCATTTTTCTAGAAGATGCGATTGATACAATGTTATGGTCCTTGAAGGTGAGATCCTCCGACATGATCACTCCCAGGTCTTTGACGTTGGTGTTTCGCTCTATTTTGTGGCCAGAATTTGTTTTGTACTAAGGTGTTTGGAGAGCCTCCAAATACCAGGTCATATAGGACATGTTATGAAGCAAGTCAGAAGCGGCTTTAAAGGAGAGTTCAACATGGTTGATGTAGTGGTTGATCAAATGTCACTGATTCAATTCCCCTAATGCTTGATGGGAGGCTGTTGAACAGTTTTGGGCCCCAGACACTTATGGGGCCCAAAACTGTTCAACAGCCTTCCATCAAGCATTAGGGGAATTGCCAATAAGCCCCTGGCTGCCTTCAAGAGAGAGCTGGACAGATACCTAAAGTCAGTGCCGGATCAGCCGGGCTGTGGCTCGTACGTTGGACTGCGTGCGGCCAGCAGTAACACCCTAGTTGATCAGTCCCTGATCCATCGGGAGGCCTGGTCATGGACCGGGCCGCGGGGGCGTTGATCCCCGGAATAACCTCCAGGTAACCTCCAGGTATGTTAGTATTCGTCGTCTCCGAGAGACAGACCAGAGGATGGGCAGCGGGTGTATGATGGACATTACATGGTCTTCCCACTCGTGGCGCCTGTTACCGGGCAGTGACCAGCTGGGAGAAAAGCTTCATACATTAGCACTCGCACCACTTCTGCTTGCCCTTTCTTCTCCACAACCCTCCCATAAGTTTGTTGGCTGTTGTGAGTGGCATCCTGGGAGAAACGACCGTGTATTTTCTTGCCTTCTCCTGGATTATTAACCTTACATGATTACTCATCTGAAAAGAAATATTTGTTATGGTCTTCGTGTCCTCTTCTCAGACGCTGTGTTGCCTAGCACTGAAGCACCGAGATTATTATTATTATTATAATCAAGGGGAAGCACTAAACCCGTAGGATTATACAGCGCCTGGGAGGGATGTGGAAGGCATTCAGGCTTAATTCGGGGAACTGGAGCACAGATCCAATTCCCTAAATCAAGAGCCCCTCACCAACATCAAGGAACCTTCCCTGAGGGGTGAAGCACCGAGAACTATATTATTGGGTCTGACTCAACACAAAGGTTAATGTAATAATTATGTTTAACAAATGTTTTCTTGTTTTCAATATAACCTCTGAACGGGATTTTATCTCCCTGCTCTATCTACAAGTAGACTAACTTTTTAATGAGCTGTGGGAATCCCTTTGATTATATAAATAAAAAAATAATGGTTTATTATTAAAGATTCGCCGGTATTCTCCCGGCCCGGACCTTTTCCAAGTGGTGGCCCGGCCTTGGCCGGGAGGAGGTACTAGTACCTCCTCATCTTTGGGACCAAGTGTCCCCAGGCCTAGCCACAGTCCCCGCCCCAAAAGGGCTCGTGGGGATGGCAGTCTTACGAGCTGCAGGTGATAGCAAGCTCTGGCCTCTCATAAAAAAAATAATGGTAAATATGTAATACAGATGTCGTGCCGAATAGGTAAAATTGGTCAGTTAGCAAGAACTCGTGTAAAATTAAGTCCTTTTTAAAATTTTCTCTTATACATTTAAAGATATATTTTTTCATATAAGTTAATCTAAAAATTAATAATTTTGTACCAAAAGAACCTTAGAAACTTACCTAATCTTATTATAACAAGCCCAATTTAATTTAGCCTAATCCAACTAAATATATTTTACAATAAATTAATAATAAACAAACACAATGAAATACATTTTTTTTCGTTAGGTTCAGAATGATTTTTCCAAAATTATTGCATGCACAAATTTTCGCTTGCCTTATTCAGCAGGAGCGTTGCTATTTAAGCCAAAATATCAAGTGTGTGTTGCAGAGGTCTGATTATTATTATAATCAAGGGGGAAGCGCTAAACCCGGAGGATTATACAGCTGCAGAGGTCTGAGCTTCTGCACAATTGTCTTCAAATATTTGTTAAGTTATACCATGAATTAAGGAAAGATCCTGGAATTCACCTTACGAAACAGACAGAGCAAATGTGATATAGTAATTATGGACAAGGTAGATTACAGTGGAGAAATGAACATGTTAGTAGAAGACGGGAGAACTGACGTTCCTCTTAAAGACATCGCTTCACAGAGTTGGCAGAGGCTTTCCTGTGACTGGCTGATGAACCAGCAATTAGCACAATAGTGGGGGCAGCGACTGTTATACTCTTAATTGCTGGTTCACTACCGGTCGGGAGGGCATCCCAACCTGGGCGTGACATATGTCGAATATATGTAACGCACTTCCTCGCAATAAAAAGGAAATAAAACTTCAGATATATAATTGTATTTTTTTATTATTAAGATAGAAATAGGGATCTACATTATTGTTCTCCTAGTATAAACATCTTGCTTGTTTTGTTACCTTCTATTAAGTACCACAGTAAGGAAAAGCTGGGAGAATCTGCCAATACATTTTGCACTAGTATTACACAGCAGAAGGCACCTTATGGTCTGAAATCTTCAGAAAAATAAACAACTACACCCCTGACTGAAAATACCACCTAGGCAAACCACAACTGCCATTATGGCAGATTCATCTTCTTTGCCCACGGCATCAATTTTTACTCCATGGATTTTACCATTGATCACTCAAATGAACCGTAACTAGGTAGTGTTATTCAAAACAGAATCAAGCTAGTCTATTGCAGTCGTGTAAATTTGCTAGTTAGAGCCTGTGAGTGAACTGTTATTTTTCTTCGAGAAGGCAAAGTTGAGGTGGTCAGCCATTACAGGGCTTGGAAGTCTGGCACACGTGTTTCTTGAGGCAACCGTTGAAACAACACTTATGGTTCAAGTTACTGCAGGAGTTGTCATTGATACACGGCAGCGGTGAGCGCAGCACCTCCACCCTGGAACACTGCGCCTGCACCGCGGGACAACATCCACTGCGAACTGCACACAAAAGCACAGAGGTAAACAGGGTATTTCAGTTATACATTGTGAAGTGAAAACACAGGTACAGAACAAGTTTTTGTTGTGATAAAGCTCTACATAGAGTGAAACATTGTCACAGAGCTTGTTCTCTATTTGCATTTTTCTTCATATATCTGGTCAGTAGGCTACTGTATTCTTAAAACTTTATGCTTGGGGTAACTCGGGGAAATATTTTTTCTCAGGATAACACAGGTACATGTATCATGTAGGAGGATCGTTATTCTTGGGAAAACTCATACAGAATACTGAAAGAAATGCAGAGTACTACAGAGAGAAATTACAAAACAGGTAAAAAAAAAAATTGTGAGGCAAGAGAAAGTTATCTATATACCTGAAATACAAATAAATACTAAGGTAGAAAGCATATACGAGGACTGGAGAAAGGCATTATAGTGGGTAAAAAATCCCAGCAATTAAGTAAACAAACTACTAATCAAACACTTCGGTTCTGAAGTTCTTATAGAGGAATTCAAAGCTTCAAAAATATTATTTAGAACTCATCTCTAATCAAAACTTTTCATTATAGTCATGAGAGTTGCTGTTTGCAAAATTGACATATTAAATACTTAACAATTATTTATATCCTGATAGATTCATGGTGACGTGAAACTAAAAAAAAAATGGCTGTTAAACAGAGGAATGAGGAATGAGATGTTGTGATATATACCCTAATGATACCGTTCATTGTCTTTAGTAGTGTTTTTTTCCTTCATTATTGTTTTAACAACAAAAGCCATACATAATTCTCAGGGGTAACTGTTTTACTTCCGCTTCCGCTTCCTACTACTACACAAGAGTGAAACACTGACCGGGTTTGTGAGTAGTGGTGGGATTGATGGCAGAGTAGCAGCAGTAAAACTTGTTCTGTGGCGTCGTGCACCAGTAAGTGCAGCTCTGAGAGGACCCCAGGTACCCGTACACTGGTCGCTCTCTGGAGTGAGGTCGACGACCATACACAGGTCGACCATCTCTATGAGCAGCGGACGTGACGTGTCTTCCAGCGATGTTGCTCAACACTGTATGAACACCACCGATGATCTCAACTCTGTCCAAACATGTATATATATATATATATATATATATATATATATATATATATATATATATATAATATATATAATATTATATATATATATATATATAATATAAATGCGTGCCGATATGTAAAACTGTGTACGAATGGTAACAATACCGACAGATGAGATTTAAAACATGTGCAACATCTGGGGATCTTTATTGTAGACGTTTCGCCATCCAGTGGCTTTATCAATACAAAGCCACTGGATGGCGAAACGTCTACAATAAAGATACCCAGATGTTGCACATGTATCTTAATCCATCTTGTCGGGTATTGTATACCATTCGTACAAATTGTCAGACACTGCAACATCATGGAATCTTAATTCTGAGGACATGTACATAAACCTTCCCCACGACTACGACAACTACTACTACAACTAACCCATCTCTTGGGAAGGACCTACTTCCATGGGGAATCCCGCTACCAGTGAATATGCCCTCGTCTACTACACCTGACGTTACTATATAAGCGCCAGGATCCTTTCTTCTGCTTCAAGAATCTCCACGACTATGGTGCTCTTCGCACCTACTCCTAGGTTGAGGGACTGATTACCTCATCTTCTGTACATAGTTCTACTGTCTTCAAGTTATGTCCTAGAATTTGTATTGATAAAGCCACTGGATGGCGAAACGTCTACAATAAAGATACCCAGATGTTGCACATTTGTCTTAATCTCATCTTGTCGGTTTGTATACCATTCGTACACAACTTGTCAGACACTGCAACATCATGGAATCTTAATTCTGAGGACATGTACAAAACCCTTTCCCACGACTACGACAACTACTACTACAACTAACCCATCTCTTTGGGAAGGACCTACTTCCACTGGGGAATCCCGCCTACCAGTGAATATGCCCTCGTCTACTACACCTGACGTTACTATATAAGCGCCAGGATCCTTTCTTCTGCTTCAGAATCTCCACGACTATGGTGCTCTTCGCACCTACTCCTAGGTTGAGGGACTGATTACCTCATCTTCTGTACATAGTTCTACTGTCTTCAAGTTATGTCCTAGAATTTGTATTGATAAAGCCACTGGATGGCGAAACGTCTACAATAAAGATACCCAGATGTTGCACATGTGTCTTAATCTCAATATGTAAAACTGGTCAATTAGCAAGAACTCAATTAAAATTAAGTCCTTTCTGAAATTTTCTCTTATACGTTTAAAGATATATTTTTTTCATTAATGTTGATGTAAAAATTTATAAATTTGCACCAAAAGAATCTTAGAAAACTTACCTAACCTTATTATAAGAAGACCAATTTATTTTAGCCTAGCCCAACTAAATATATTTTAGATTTGTTTACAGTAATTTAATACTAAACAAACACAGTGAAATACATTTTTTTCGTTAGGTTCAGAATGATTTTGGCGAAATTATTGCATACACAAATTTTCGCTTTTCCTATATGGCAAGATGAGCGTTGCTATTTAAGCCAAGATCGCAAGTTCAGCCTATTCGGCACGACATATATATTATATATATATATATATAATATATATATATATTATATATATATATATATATATTATATACATATATATATATATATATATATATATATATATATATATATATATATATATATATATTTATATATATATTTTTCTCAACAAGTCGGCCGTCTCCCACCGAGGCAGGGTGACCCAAAAAAGAAAGAAAATCCCAAAAAGAAAATACTTTCATCATCATTCAACACTTTCACCACACTCGCACATTATCACTGTTTTTGCAGAGGTGCTCAGAATACAACAGTCTAGAAGCATACACTAAATATACACAACATATCCCTCCAAACTGCCAATATCCCAAACCCCTCCTTTAAAGTGCAGGCATTGTACTTCCCATTTCCAGGACTCAAGTCCGACTATATGAAAATAACCGGTTTCCCTGAATCCCTTCACTAAATATTACCCGCTCACACTCCAACAGATCGTCAGGTCCCAAGTACCATTCGTCTCCATTCACTCCTATCTAACACGCTCACGCACGCTTGCTGGAAGTCCAAGCCCCTTGCCCACAAAACCTCCTTTACCCCCTCTCTCCAACCCTTTCGAGGACGACCCCTACCCCGCCTTCCTTCCCCTATAGATTTATATGCTTTCCATGTCATTCTACTTTGATCCATTCTCTCTAAAATGACCAAACCACCTCAACAACCCCTCTTCTGCCCTCTGACTAATACTTTTATTAACTCCACACCTTCTCCTAATTTCCACACTCCGAATTTTCTGCATAATATTTACACCACACATTGCCCTTAAACAGGACATCTCCACTGCCTCCAACCGTCTCCTCGCTGCTGCATTTACCACCCAAGCTTCACACCCATATAAGAGTGTTTGGTACTACTATACTTTCATACATTCCCTTCTTTGCCTCCATAGATAACGTTTTTTGACTCCACATATGCCTCAACGCACCACTCACCTTTTTTCCCTCATCAATTCTATGATTAACCTCATCCTTCATAAATCCATCCGCCGACACGTCAACTCCCAAGTATCTGAAAACATTCATTCTTCCATACTCCTCCTCCCAATTTGATATCCAATTTTTCTTTATCTAAATCATTTGACACCCTCATCCCCTTTTACTCTTTTCTATGTTCACTTTCAACTTTCTACCTTTACACACATTCCCAAACTCATCCACTAACCTTTGCAATTTTTCTTTAGAATCTCCCATAAGCACAGTATCATCAGCAAAAAGTAACTGTGTCAATTCCCATTTTGAATTTGATTCCCCAAAATTTAATCCCACCCTCTTCCCGAACACCCTAGCATTTACTTCCTTTACAACCCCATCTATAAATATATTAAACAACCATGGTGACATTACACATCCCTGTCTAAGACCTACTTTTCCCGGGGAAGTAGTCTCCCTCTCTTCTACACACCCTAACATGAGCCTCACTATCCTCATAAAAACTCTTTACAACATTTAATAACTTACCACCTATTCCATATACTTGCAACATCTGCCACATTGCTCCTCTATCCACTCTATCATATGCCTTTTCTAAATCCATAAATGCAATAAAAACTTCCCTATTTTATCTAAATACTGTTCACATATATGCTTCAATGTAAACACCTGATCTACACATCCCCTACCCACTCTGAAACCCCTTGCTCATCCGCAATCCTACATTCTGTCTTACCTCTAAATTCTTTCAATTATAACCCTACCGTACACTTTTCCTGGTATACTCAGTAAGCTTATTCCTCTATAATTTTACAGTCTCTTTTGTCCCTTTCCCTTTATATAAAGGGACTATACATGCTATCCGCCCAAACCCCAGGTACCTTCCTCTCTTTCATACATTTATTAAACAAAGTACCAACACTCCAACACTATATCCCCCCTGCTTTTAACATTTCTGTCATGATCCCATCAGTTCCAGCTGCTTTACCCCCTTTCATTTTACGTAATGCCTCACGTACCTCCCCCACACTTACATTCTGCTCTTCTTCACTCCTAAAAGATGGTATACCTCCCTGACAGTGCATGAAATTACTGCCTCTGTTTCTTCCTTAACTTTAAAAGTTCCTCAAAATATTCTCGCCATCTACCCAATTCCTCCATCTCCCCATCTACTAACTCCCCTACTCTGTTTTTAACTGACAAATCCATACTTTCCCTAGGCTTTCTTAACTTGTTTAACTCACTCCAAAATTTTTTCTTATTTTCATTAAAATTTCTTGACAGTGCCTCTCCCACTCTATCATCTGCTCTCCTTTTGCACTCTCTCACCACTCTCTTTACCTTTCTTTTACTCTCCATATAACTCTGCTCTCTTATAACACTTCTGCTTTGTAAAAAACCTCTCATAAGCTACCTTTTTCTCTTTTATCACACCCTTTTACTTCATCATTCCACCCAATCACTCCTCTTTCCTCCTGCCCCCACCCTCCTATAACCACAAACTTCTGCCCCACCTTCTAATACTGCATTTTTAAAACTATTCCAACCCTCTTCAACCCCCCCACTACTCATCTTTGCACTAGCCCACCTTTCTGCCAATAGTCGCTTATTCTCACCCGAACTTCCTCCTCCCTTAGTTTATACACTTTCACCTCCCTCTTACTTGTTGTTGCCACCTTCCTCTTTTCCCATCTACCTCTTACTCTAACTGTAGCTACAACTAAATAATGATCCGATATATCAGTTGCCCTCTATAAACATGTACATCCTGGAGCCTACCCTCAACCTTTATCCACCAATACATAATCTAATAAACTACTTTCATTACGTGCTACATCATACCTTGTATATTTATTTATCCTCTTTTTCATAAAATATGTATTACTTATTACCAAATCTCTTTCTACACATAGCTCAATTAAAGGCTCCCCATTTACATTTACCCCTGGCACCCCAAATTTACCTACTACTCCCTCCATAACATTTTTACCCACTTTAGCATTGAAATCCCCAACCACCATTACTCTCACACTTGATTCAAAACTCCCACGCATTCACTCAACATTTCCCAAAATCTCTCTCTCTCCTCTACACTTCTCTCTTCTCCAGGTGCATACACGCTTATTATAACCCACTTTTCACATCCAATCTTTATTTTACTCCACATAATCCTTGAATTAATACATTTATAGTCCCTCTTTTCCTGCCATAGCTTATCCTTCAACATTATTGCTACTCCTTCTTTAGCTCTAACTCTATTTGAAACCCCTGACCTAATCCCATTTATTCCTCTCCACTGAAACTCTCCCACCCCCTTCAGCTTTGTTTCACTTAAAGCCAGGACATCCAGCTTCTTCTCATTCATAACATCCACAATCATCTCTTTCTTATCATCTGCACAACATCCACGCACATTCAGACTTCCCACTTTGACAATTTTCTTCTTCTTATTCTTTTTAGTAATCTTTACAGGAAAAGGGGTTACTAGCCCATTGTTCCCGGCATTTTAGTTGAATGTGGAAGCAAAATTTGGTCTCTAATTTTTATAAGGTTAGGTGAACTTTAAATATTACATGTTATGATGTGATATTGATTTTTTTAATGTGTGACCCCGTGTATCCGTGGAAGTAAAAATGCAAGCAAATATATATAAAAATATGGTTGTAAATGACCATAGTTTTTAATAAAGGGGTGGACCGATAAGCCAGCGGAAGGCCTCGGTCAGATGACCAAAGCTCCAAAGGCGGGTCATCATCTGACTAAGACCCGCGTCAGGAAACATTTATCCTGTTTCCTGACGAACCTTACCTAACCTAACCTGCAAGCAAATTAAGCACTAAACCCTGAATGTCATTAAACGCTACATCGTTGGAAGACCAAATAGCCCCCACGAAGTCATGGGAGCCTCTGGTGGATTTTGACCTGCTACAGAAAAAAATCCAGAATTTCTGACTAACAAAATACCACAATCTATAAGAGGAGTTAAAGTGACTTACGGTTCTTGTGAGAGATCGACAGTATCTTGTGCGAGAGAGGACACCAACAGCCCGGCCAAACACACTAACATCTTCATTTCTCACGTTGCTCACGACAGCAGCAACAACAACAACAGCAATCTGAAAGATATTTAATAAAAATTATATTTGAAAATGGAAATGTTAAATGCAGACTTCCTTGATGCCGATAAGGGGGATCTTACTTCCCTTTCTCCAAACGCTCTGTGACTCTTAGTTCACCGCTTCCCCTGTATATATATATATATATATATATATTATATATATATATATATATATATATATATTATATATTAGGGATAATATACATTTTTTTTTTAAATTGTTGGTAAAGTAGCTTCCAAATCAATTTGCTTATGTTTGGACGGTCTTTTGTGCGTCAGTAATATAAATGTTTCTCTGCCCAATTTCTGAAAGTATATAGACATTAAAAAAAGAAATTTATGTTACAGCTCAACCAGAATTTTCCACGCACGCTTTCTGTGGCTGTTTCTTTAATTCAAGGTGACTAGCTCAACCGTGACTGGTTGAAGGTATTTGTAAACCGTAGTCACTTACCATCACAGAAAGTTATGAGTTCTATTATCACGAAGTGTAATATACACAACTCACTTTATATCTAAGATAATTTATTCCCCATTGAAGGTAATTTTCCCTCCACTCTCGAGTGAATCCGCCATTTAGGTATGAGAACCCTGGTTAGAGCGATTAGATAATTGTCTTAATTAACAGAACAGGTAAATGTTGAGGTGACCCGAATTGGCTGGTAAGTCTGAGGAAGCAAACTGAAATTTACTGGAACCCACAACGACGACTTCGATGAAGCCTACTGAGTGATGTGGCTTCAAATTCCATATTTCCATTAATTATTTATGAAGCTGAGGATTTCTCTGTCGGTAGATGAGCTTTTGCTAAGGTTTGACTGTGAACGGAGGTGAGTACACAGGTAGTAATACAATATTAATGAACAGAGGTGAGTGAATGGGTACTACTGCAGTATCTATGAACGAAGGTGAGTACACAGGTACCACTGCAGTATCTATGAACGAAGACGAGTACACAGGTACCACTGCAGTATCTATGAACGAAGACGAGTACACAGGTACCACTGCAGTATCTATGAACGAAGACGAGTACACAGGTACCACTGCAGTATCTATGAACGAAGGTGAGTACACAGGTACCACTGCAGTATCTATGAACGAAGGTGAGTACACAGGTACCACTGCAGTATCTATGAACGAAGACGAGTACACAGGTACCACTGCAGTATCTATGAACGAAGGTGAGTACACAGGTACCACTGCAGTATCTATGAACGAAGGTGAGTACACAGGTGCTACTGCAGCCCCATGCTTGTGTTTACATTATCACTAACATAAATCGGTCCATGGAAAGAAGTATTGAATACCGACACTGTGGAGTATAACCTGAGTCTGGATTGACTTAATTAAGCCCATTGCGAGGGGTAAATCTTGTAAATAAAAGATAGCAATACACGCCATCTGTTTATTTTTCTCCAGAGCAGGACTAAACTCTTTTTCTCGCTGTCAAGCTCAGTAATATAGTTGTTAAAAAGCCTAATGAGATTATATATTATATAAATGGCCTTGTGTGACACTATTGAAGCTTTGCCTTGTGTATTTCCTGATTGTGTCGTATTGTTCTACGCTCTCATAATATTGTATAATTATCTGCCTTGTTAATCGTGGCACGTTGATTAAATTACTTTTGACCTGTGTTGCAGCCCCAGTAATTATTTTTCTCATGTCATTAACAAAAGAGTAAACAAAGAAAAGAGCATAGGTCAAATTTCTGCAGAATTTACAGGCTTATTTCAAGTGATGTCTAAGATAATCAGCGCCCTCAGGATGCAACCCACAACATCCTGCTAGTACTCTAGTAACTATTTATTGCTAGGTGAGCAAGGGCAGTAGGTTTGTAATGAACTTTGCCCCTCAGTTCCTCCCTGGCCTGGAATCGAACATTTCAACTCTCTTGCTCCTGCGAACCAAACCACCGCTTTTCTAAGTCACATTTTAAAGACATAAATTTAACTTCAACAGACCTTAATGTTGAACAGCGGCAGTGTCGTGGGAGTCAGTGATGGAGATGTTATGCTACATCACCGAGGTTACTGGTATATATACCAGCAAGAGGGGAAAACTACTGATAATGTGATTGAGAGTCCAATTTGTCTTATTTATTCAGCTAAAAATCCCATCTTGTAACGTAGCTTGGGAATCTTTTTTATATATACTTGTTAAATGTCTTGGAATCTGTATCAGCCATAAGGTATCCATAATTTATTTAATTGCAGATGTAAATATTATAAGATTTGTTACATGTTAGTGTATTCCTTAGAGCCCTGTGGCATAGGTAAGTGAGGGTAGTTAGGGAAACCCCAAGAGGGCTGACAAAAGGCGAGCTTCAGACAATAGAAGGAACGATCTCAGCACAATGCGTCCAAGGGCAAAGCACTCCCCAGGAAGCACTTACTGGAAAAACTCACTGCGTTGCACTTACAGTGAAGTACTCAGTGGGAAGAAAATTTACTTGGAAGCATTCACTGATGAATTAAAAAATACTTTGTTTTGAAAAGCAGAGTAAGTGAGGAGGGTCACAACATTTCTCATGTAGTATCTCATTATGTATCATTATATTTTTCAAAATAAACAAATATGAATTCTTCAGTCAGCTTGTTTTCTCTTTGATTCCCCCAAGATAATATTTAGAAGGTCCTTGTTATGAAAGATGTACTTGTGACAGCAGCTGTACACATGATAATAGCTGTACACATGATAATAGCTGTACACATGATAATAGCTGTACACATGATAATAGCTGTACACATGATAATAGCTGTACACATGATAATAGCTGCACACATGATAATAGTTGCATACATGATAATAGTTGCATACATGATAATAGCTGTACACATGATAATAGCTGTACACATGATAATAGCTGTACACATGATAATAGTTGCAACATGATAATAGTTGTACACATGATAATAGCTTGCATACATGATAATAGTGTACAACATGATAATAGTTGCACACATGATAATAGCTGTACACATGATAATAGCTGTACACATGATAATAGTTGCAACATGATAATAGTTGACACATGATAATAGCTGTACACATGATAATAGCTGCACACATGATAATAGCTGTACACATGATAATAGTTGCACACATGATAATAGCTGCATACATGATAATAGCTGTACACATGATAATAGCTGTACACATGATAATAGTTGCATACATGATAATAGCTGCACACATGATAATAGCTGCATACATGATAATAGTTGCATACATGATAATAGCTGTACACATGATAATAGCTGTACACATGATAATAGCTGTACACATGATAATAGTTGCATACATGATAATAGTTGCACACATGATAATAGCTGCATACATGATAATAGCTGTACACATGATAATAGTTGCACACATGATAATAGTTGCACACATGATAATAGTTGCATACATGATAATAGCTGTACACATGATAATAGCTGCACACATGATAATAGCTGTACACATGATAATAGCTGTACACATGATAATAGCTGCACACATGATAATAGCTGTACACATGATAATAGTTGCACACATGATAATAGCTGTACACATGATAATAGTTGCACACATGATAATAGCTGTACACATGATAATAGCTGTACACATGATAATAGTTGCAACAAACTGTAAATAATAGTTGCATACATGATAATAGCTGTACACATGATAATAGCTGCACACATGATAATAGCTGTACACATGATAATAGCTGTACACATGATAATAGCTGTACACATGATAATAGTTGTACACATGATAATAGTTGTACACATGATAATAGTTGCATACATGATAATAGCTGTACACATGATAATAGCTGCACACATGATAATAGCTGTACACATGATAATAGTTGCACACATGATAATAGTTGCATACATGATAATAGCTGTACACATGATAATAGCTGTACACATGATAATAGCAGTACACATGATAATAGCTGTACACATGATAATAGCTGCACACATGATAATAGCTGTACACATGATAATAGCTGCACACATGATAATAGCTGTACACATGATAATAGTTGCACACATGATAATAGTTGCACACATGATAATAGCTGCACACATGATAATAGCTGTACACATGATAATAGCTGCACACATGATAATAGCTGCACACATGATAATAGCTGTACACATGATAATAGCTGCACACATGATAATAGCTGCACACATGATAATAGCTGCACACATGATAATAGCTGCACACATGATAACAGCTGCACACATGATAATAGTTGCACACATGATAATAGCTGCACACATGATAATAGCTGCACACATGATAATAGCTGCACACATGATAATAGCTGCACACATGATAATAGCTGCACACATGATAATAGCTGCACACATGATAATAGCTGCATACATGATAATAGATGAACACTGATGACCCACCTTGTCCCCCAACCACACTTCCTCTCTGCTATACACATGATAAGTTTTACTGCACACATTCGGCCCGCATCAGGTAGGTGATGGCTTGACTGTCAATGTGGAGCCGAGTAAAAAACACACATAAAGAGAAGTCTTATTTAACGATGTATTATGCTCACATGTCGAGTTATGAGTAGATAAATATTGCGACCCTGAATGGATCACAATGTATCATGAGGTATATACGTATTTACTTATCGTATAATTTTAGCTGCTTATTTCCAATATTAGCTTAATTGAAATATCTTACTTATAATTATTGCTTAGCATGTTATAGGTAGGATGTATCTGTACTCAAGTAGCCGAGTGTCGAGTAGATCGCAGTCGGCAAACTGCCTTAATTAACTGCTCACTTGTATTACTGCCGCTACTCTGATTAGCTGGGCAGGAGCGTCCACATGAGTCATGAGTAGCGCTGTCACTGATAATAGTTGCTCCACATGATTCATGCTGCACACATGATAATTAGCTGGTACACATGATAATAGCTGTACACATGATTATTGCTGCAAATGATATAGCTGTACACAGATAATAGCTGCACACATGATAATAAGTTGCACACATGATAAAAGCCCGCACACTGATAATAGTTGCATCATGATAATACGTACACTGATAATAGCTGAACTTATAATAGCAGTAACATGTAAAGTGTACCTGATAATAGCTGCACAATGATAAAAGCTGTACACATGAAAATAGCTGCACACATGATAAAATGTACACATGATAATATTGCACACAGAAAATAGTTGCCACAGATAATAGCTGCCACAGATAATAGCTGTACACATATAATAGCTGCACACATGATAATAGCTGCCAAAAGTAAAAGCTTAACATGTAATAGTGACACATGATAATAGTGCACACATAATAGTGCACACTGAAATAGCTGCACACATGATAAAAGCGACACATGAAATGTGCACACAGATAATAGCTGCACACATATAATGCTGCACAAAGATAATGCTGCCCATGATAATAGCTCACAATGATTATAGCTGCACAATGATAAAGTGCACACATGATAAAATTTTCATACTGTAATGAGAACACTGAGCCCCCCTTTTGTCCCCCCCAACCACCCTTCCTCCTGCTTACACTGAGCGTTTCTCCTGCACACATTCTGGCCCGCCCTCAGGAAGGTGATGGCTTGACTGGTCAATGATGGAGCCGAGTAAAAAAAACACACATAACAGAGCAAGTCTTATTTTAACGATGTTTTGCTCACTGTCGAGTTTCATCGAGTAGATAAATATTGCGACCCCTGAATGGGACACAATGTATATTCGAGGTATATAACGTATTTTATCTTATCGTATAATTTTATATTGCTGTTATTTCCAATATTAGCTAAATTGGAAATATCTTACTTTATATTATTATTTGCTTAGCTGTGTTATTAGGTAGGATGTATTCTGTACTCAGTAGTCGAGAGTGTTGAGTAGCTGCCCGCAGTCGGCAAACTGCCTTAATTATCGCCTCACTTGTTTCCCTGCCGGCTACTCTGGAGTAGCTGGGCAGGAGCCGTCCACAGGAGAGTCACATGAGTAGTCGCGTGATCGCACCTGAGTGAGGAGTCGCCTTGCCTTCCTCTCTCTCTTTCTCTGCTGGTGCTGGTCTGACCAAAATCTCCCTCTCTTGTCTCTGGTCGTGTTCGTTGTTTAGACTCTTGTTTTGGTAGAATATGTTTTCTGTGGTGAGACGAAAAATACTTCTTGTAACTCTGTTCACAGAGCCTAAGAGATAAGATTTCGTTCGGATTTTTAACCCCGAAGGGTTAGCCACCCAGGATAACCCAAGAAAGTCAGTGCGTCATCGAAGACTGTCTAACTTATTTCCATTGGGGTCCTCAATATTGTCCCCCAGGATGCGACCCACACCAGTCGACTAACACCCAGGTATCTATTTGCTGCTAGGTGAACAGGACAACAGGTGTAAGGAAACGTGTCGAAATGTTTCCACCCGCCGGGAATCGAACCCGGGCCCTCCGTGTGTGAAGCGGGAGCTTTAATCACCAGGCCACTGGGCCACCCCCTAGTCTAGACTTAGTGATTTTCGACGTTTTACTGAGGTTTTGTCGCACTGACACTCCTAATTTAACCCAGGTCCTGAGCTTTAGCTTCTGACCCAATTTGTTCTGGTATCTGCGCACTGTCGTAGTCTGGGATTTGGTTATGCTGAACTTAGATTCAGTATTAAGGGAGTTTTATGACTTTTGTGGAGGATCTGTAGAAGGTCCCCTGTTAAAGCCGTTATTTTGTCTCCTTGTCCCTGACTCCGTGCTGCTGCTGCTTGTGACTTTATTGCTGTTAGTGAATGGTCGCCGTACTGTTCAAGCAAGCTGTTCTGATTGCAAGTTGGCCAGAAAGATAGATTTGAGGACGTTTAGTCAGTCATTGGTTAAGTGGAGTTGAGTCTTAAGACATAGTGAACTACTTGGAGCACATATATACACACATTCATACACACTCGTATATATATTAATATTATATCTATAATTGCTAACAATGTACCAGACAGTACCATAAATATATGAACAGAACAGAG